CAGTCTAATAAAGAAGAAAAGAGAGAAGAATAAAATAGACACAATAAAAAATAATAAAGGGGATATTACCACTGATCCCACAGAAATACAAACTACAATCAGAGAATACTATAAACACCTCTACACAAATAAACTAGAAAATCGAGAAGAAATGGATAGATTCCTGGACACATACACCTTCCCAAGACTAAACCAGGAAGAAGTAGAATCCCTGAATAGACCAATAACAAGTTCTGAAATTGAGGCAGTAATTAATAGCTTACCAACCAAAAAAAAAAAGCCTAGACCAGATGGGATTCACAGCCAAATTCTACTAGAGGTACAAAGAGAAGCTGGTACCATTCCTTCTGAAACTATTCCAAACAACTGAAAAAGAAGGACTCATCCTTAACTCATTTTATGAGCCTAGCATTATCCTGATACCAAAACCTGGCAGAGACACAACAACAAAAGAAAATTTCAGGCCAATATCCCTGATGAACATCAATGTAAAAATCCTCAATAAATACTGGCAAACCGAATCCAGGAGCACATCAAAAAGCTTATCCACTATGATCAAGTCGGCTTCAACCCTGGGATACAAGGATGGTTCAACATACGCAAATCAATAAGCATAATCCATTGCAACAGAACCAATAACAAAACAGAACCAATGACATAAATAGAACCAATGACAAAAACCACAATTATCTCAATAGATGCAGAAAATACCGTCGATAAAATTCAACACCCTTTCATGCTAAAAACTCTCAATAAACTAGGTATTGATGGAACATATCTCAAAATAATAAGAGCTATTTATGACAAACCCACAGCCAATATCACACTGAATGGGCAAAAGCTGGAAGCATTCCCATTGAAAACCGGCAAAAGACAAGGATGCCCTCCCTCATCACTCCTATTCAACACAGTACTAGAAATTCTGGCCAGGGATATCAGGCAAGGGAAAGAAATAAAGGGTATTCAAATAGGAAGAGAGGAGGTCAAACTGTCTCTGTTTGCAGATGATGTGACTGTACATTTAAAAAAAACCCATCATCTCAACCCAAAATCTCCTTAAACTGATCAGCAACTTCAGCGAAGTCTCAGGATACAAAATCAATGTGCAAAAATCACAAGCATTCCTATACACCAATAACAGACAAACAGAGAGCCAAATCATGAATGAACTCCCACTCACAATGGCTAAAAGAGAATAAAATACCTAGGATGATAAAATACCTAGGATGATGATACTATGAGAATAAAATACCTACAACGAGAATAAAATACTTACAAGGGATATGAAGGACTTCTTCAAGGAGAACTACAAACCACTGCTTAACGAAATAAGAGATAACACAAACAAATGGAAAAACATTCCATGCTCATGGATAGGAAGAATCAATATTGTGAAAATGGCCATACTGCCCAAAGTAATTTATAGATTTAATGCTATCCGCCATCAAGCTACCACTGACTGTCGTCACAGAATTAGAAAAAGCTACTTTAAATTTAATATGGAACCAAAAAAAGAGCCGGTATAGCCAAGATAATCCTAAGCAAAAAGAACAAAGTTGGAGGCATCACACTACCTGACTTCAAACTATACTCCAAGGCTAGAGTAACCAAAAGAGCATGGTACTGGTGCCAAAACAGATATATAGACCAATGGAACAGAACAGAAGCCTCAAATAATGCTACACATCTACAACCCTCTGATCTTTGACAAACCTGACAAAAGCAATAGGGAAAGGATTCCCTATTTAATAAATGGTGTGTGAAAACTGGCTACCCATATGCAGAAAATTGAAACTGGACCCCTTCCTTACACCTTATACAAAAATTAACTCAAAATGAATTAAAGACTTAAACATAAGATCTAAAACCATAAAAACTCTAGAAGAAAACCTAGTCAATACCATTCAGGACATAGGCATGTGCAAAGACTTCATGATTAAAACACCAAAAGCAATGGCAAAAAAAGCCAAAATTGACAAATGGGATCTAATTTAACTAAAGACCTTCTCCACAGCAAAAGAAACCATCATCAGAGTGAACAGGCAACCTACAGAAATGGAGAAAATTTTTGCAATCTATCTGACAAAGGGCTAATATCCAGAATCTACAAGGAACTTAAACAAATTTACAAGAAAAAAAAAAAAAAGGCCCATCAAAAAGCGAAGGATATGAACAGACACTTCTCAAAAGAAGACATTCATGCGGCCAGCAAACATGAAAAAAGCTCATCATCACTGGTCATTAGAGAAATGCAAATCAAAACCACAATGAGATACCACCTCACGCTAGTTAGAATGGCAATCATTAAAAAGTCAGGAAACAACAGATTCTGGAAAGGATGTGGAGAAATAGGAACACTTTTACACTGTTGGTGGGAGTGTAAATTAGTTCAAGCATTGTGGAAGACAGTGTGGCGACTCCTCAAGGATCTAAAAACAGAAATACCATTTAACTCAGTAATCCCATTACTGAGTATATACCCAAAGGATTATAAATCATTCTGCTATAAAGACAAATGCACACATATGCTTACTGCAACACTGTTCACAATAGCAAAGACTTGGAACCGACCCAAATGCCCATCAATGATAGACTGGATAAAAAAATGTGGCACATACACACCATGGAATGCTGTTCAACCATAAAAAAGGATGAGTTCATGTCCTTTGCAGGGATATGGATGATGCTAGAAACCATCATTCTCAGCAAAGTAACACAGGAACAGAAAACCAAACACTGCATGTTCTCACTCATAAGTGGGAATTGAACAATGAGAACACATGGACACAGTGAGGGGAACATCACACACCGGGGCCTGTCGCGGGGTTGGGGGCTAGGGAAAGGATAGCATTAGGAGAAATACCTAATGAAGATGACAGGTTGATGGGTGCAGCAAACCACCATGGAACATGTATACCTATGTAACAAACCTGCATATTCTGCACATGTACTCCAGAACTTAAAAGTATCATTTTAAAAATCTAAAATAAATTACACATAATAATAATATTTTTTAAAAGTTGAGGACATTGGAAGCAAATCAATAGTCACTTAAAAAACAAGGCAAATGATTTTAAGTGGTTTTCCTTGACTCTTGATAAGTCAAAAAATGGAACCAATATTGCTATTGTTGTTGAGGAGTCAATATTGAGTGTGAAGTGGGTGAAGAATTAGCTCCTATGAACAGTCTGCATGGGACAACTACAGGCAAGAATATTCTCACATAACTTGAGCAAACATTAATTCAGTACAACCTGAAGTGGAATCTACTAAGATACATTATAACCAATTTTGGTAAAAATATGTGTAGAATACAAAAAGACTTTAGATATACATATTTTTGACATCTACTATGGAACACTAAATGACTTTGCTAATTAGTTTTTACTGCAGACGATGATATTTCTTGGCGAACTTAATGTACAATTACAAGAGAAAACATAGCTTATATACAAGAAACACTGACAATAAAGTCATCTTAATGACGACTAGTATTTTGAGAATCACAAGTAATCACAAGCTACTGTCCATGCATCCCAAACTATCAAATATTAAAACAAGAAGGGAGATTGCCATTCCCATACAAATGGGTAGTGAGTATTTTTTTCTGAGCTCAAACTACAGGTCCAGTAGGGTTTTTCAGATCACATGTAAATGCAAAGTAAATTTCCATACTGCAGATTCCATTTAACTGTGCAACTGAGAACTTCCACCTAATCTTTAATTGGAATTGACTAATAGAAAATGTAATAACATGCTAAAAGGCAAGTATCAAGAAGAGAATCTAACAGAACTCTATAAATGCCTTCTTAGTGACAAATATGTTCAATTAAAATGTTTGTGAATTTATGTCAGTATTTGCTGTGCCTATTTGAGTGAAAGACATTTTCAAAAATGAAATAAGTAAAATATCATTACAGATCAGAACTGATAGATGAACATTTGCATTTTATTTTGACAGAGAACGATGATTCTTAACCAGTTAGGTAAAACGTCCTCTCCCACAAAAGAAGAATTTCTTCATTCTTATTAATAGACCTGTTACAAAAAGTTTTAATAAACTAAATGAGTATCTAAAATGTATCATGTGAAAAACTACACTGCTGATTTTTCCATCTATCCCCCAACAAAAACTTCTTTTCCAGCATCTCAGTACTATAAATTCCATCCTTCAGGTTGACGAAGCCAAAAAACTTGACACCATTTTTAATATATCTTTATCTCATATCCTTATTACCCATTCATTGACAAAACGGCTGGCTTTATCAGTAAAACTATAGCATCCAACCAATTCTCACCATATGTGCTATCGTCCTGGTTCAAGCTACCATCCCTATTTACCTATTAATTATAACACACAGATTCTCTTTACTTCCTCTTTTGCCTCCTCCTACTCACAGTAACCTGAGACTTAACATTTTAAGTCAGACTGTGTCACTGCTCAGCCAAAAATCCTCCAATGGTTTCTCATCTCACTCAGCATAAAAAGCCAAAGTCTTCATCAATAAAGTACAAGAAACTGCATGATCTGCTTTCCACCCACCCAAACCACTTCTCTGACCTCATTTCTTTCTCATCCAGTTTCAGCCACACTATGCTATTTGTGTGTCTTCCAACTTGTTCTCTAATCCTATGCCACAGCCTGTAACTTGTTCTTCCATTGCCTAAAATGATGTGTTTTCAGATAAACACACTACTCGCTCCCTCACCTCCTTCAGGTCTTTGATCAAACCTCATCTTCCCACAGAGGCCATCTGTGACTACTCTATATAATTAGCACCTATCCTTTCACACTGTATTTTTACCACTCTGTAACCCTATTACTCTGCCCACAGACTCTACAACAGTGCCAAATATACAGTATTCACTCAATAAACATTTCCTGAATAAATGAACAAAGCAACAAAATTTGTGTTACGTGTCCTCAGTTCCTTTTCCTTATATAAGTGCTATATATACATATACATGTATATATGAACAATTGTATAAAACTGATTTACCATTGCGCTAAGAGTTTCTTCCCAATCAGGCCGCTCTCGAGGGTGTACATTTCTATGTAGCTCTGGAACAAAATCATCTTCTTCAGAATGTACTGAGGACTTCATCTTCCTAGAGATCAAAACATGAAAGATTCAGATAAGAATTTCCAATTCTATGAAAGCCTTCCAATGATCACAACTGAAAGAGCAGAAAAACTACGAGTCAGATTTGAAGTTTAGCTAAAAGAGCTTAAGTGAATAGCAGTGATCCTTTATTTCTACTCTGGCTTTCAGAGGTCTCTCCTAATGTACCAAACACCTGCTTTTACTCCAGAAGATAAAATAAGGTTTAGAGCTAGTTAACCTTTATGGTCCATGGTTATTATATAAAAACTGATTTTTATCAGTTCAACACAATTTGAACCTTGAAAAGATTTGCAACAACAAGTAGTTACTCTGAACCAATATTTACAGAACTGTGCTAAGCACTGGTATCATTTCAGAAAAAACAAGAGACATGGTATCTCTGGTTCCAATCAATGGAGCAGAGTGCAATAAATAAGCATTTTCAATGAGAACAACTATGAATACTGGGCAAAACATATAAAACAACTTATCTGAAGGCAACAGAAAGCAGCCAATACAGATGGGACTTCCAGGGCTACAAACTTTGAGAGAAGGAAAGCCCAATCAAGCAAATTCCACATTTAATCCTTCTTTTTGTATAAGATAATTTTTCAAATCAATCATGGGAAATAGAGACCAAGATAATAACTGTAATCTTAGTGGGATGAGAAGGCAGAGGTTGGAGGCTGGGATTACCAAAGCAGGGAGGAATTCCGGAGGCAAAATACCCCCAAAAAAGACCTACAAAGAAAGAGCCCAGAAATCTACAGTAAAATTCACCTCAAATTATTAACTGATTCCTAAGCTTACAAATATGTAGGACAGGATGCCAAGAAACCCAAAACAAACCAAACCAAGTAAAGAGGCAAGTAGACATTTTAGCAGCCCATTAATGTTGAGGAGATGGACTGGCAAGCAAGCACTGCCAAGATGGAGGAGCACTGAAAAATCCCTGAGCTCTAGATGTGACTCTAAAAAAGCCACGCCTTAAGAGTATGGACAAAATAGCAATAGAAAAATTCTAACAAAGCCCCAAACCAAGCCTTAACAGAATCAGAAGCACGGGAAGGAAAATTAACTGTCTTTGGAGGAAAAAACATTCTCCAGACTCTCTGCAGATCTTTCATCCACATTATCTAGTATCCAATAAACATTATGAGGCACGTTCAAAAAAAAAACAAGAACTAGTGAAAATTGAGAAAAAAAAGTCAAACCAGAAAGACTCACATTTCATTCAGATCTTAGCATTATTAGAAAGAGACTTTCAAATGGCATTTGTGATTTTCTGCCTATGATGCAGAAAGCTGTAAACAGCATCACTCCTAGCCTAGTATTAATAAATAAAAAAAAAAATAGATAATCTGGAAATCCTAACTTCTCTAGGACACAACAGAAAACTCAGGTCTCAGGGCAACCAACTAGTTTACACACTATGGAAACACAAGCCTCTCTGAGATTAGATGGATGACAAGTAGTTACTTTTCTGGAACACAGTATGGGGAGAAGAGGGATACATAAGAATTTAGATAAGTTTTTATCAAGTTGTTAAAAATATTTATGATTTATATGTTCAATTGAATGAAAGTAAAAAATAGGAGAGAAATGATGAATTTCAACAGAGAATTGGAATCCATATAATCAAATGTTTATTCTAAAACTGAAAAATACAGTATCTGAAATTAAGGACTAACTAGACAAATTTAGTGGAACAATAAACATAGCTAAAGAGAGGGTTGGTGAACTGGAACATAGTTTAGTAGAAAATATCCACATTGAAGAACACAGAGAAAAAAGGAACAGAAAACACACAAAATAGTATAAAGGATAAGAGACTTGGTTTAAAAAAAAGATCTCAAATGTGTCTAAATTGATGACAGAGATAAGGGAGATAATTTTTTTAAAAAAGAGAATATGACAAAAGCAATATTTGAAAATGAATGCTAAAAAGTTTTCAAAACTGATGAAATCATCAAACTAAGGATTCAAATAAATTCTATAAATCTCAAGCAGAATTTTAAAAAATTAAAACCATAGGTAAATTACAGTCAAACTGCTAAAAAAACAAACACAAAGAGAAATTCTTAAAAGCAGCTAGAGAATTTTTTAAAGTTGACTTCCAAGAAGCAATACCAATGTGAGAAGACATTTCAATGGAAAAGAGAAAACAATGCAATGAACCTTCAGTGTGCTAAAAGAAAAATACTCCCAATCTAGAATCTTCTACCTCACCAAAGTAACCATCTTGAAAGCGGGTAAAACAAATTATTTACAAATGAAAGCTGAAAAAAGTCACCACCAAGAGACCTGCAATAAAAGAAATAGTAAAGAGAATTCCTAATTGAAGAAAACTGATTCCAAAACTGCAGAAACACATGAAAAGAATAAAGGGCAAAAACGGGGAAATATAAGTAAATACTATATAAATACTATATAAACATAAAATAATGTCTTATGAAGTTTACAATATATAAACATTAAAAACATAAAGGATAAGAAATGTACATTCAGTCAAACAGTTTAGGATTTCTCTATTGGTTAAGAAGTGAAAAAAGTTCTATTTTATGGAAGACTAAATAAGTCAAAGATATATGTTGCAGTCTCTATAGTGAGCACTAAAAGAATGAGAAATAAATGTATAACTAAAAAGCTGATAGAGGAAAAGGAAAAGAATTTTGAAAAATAAAAAATAATAAAACATACATATTAATCTAAGAGAAGGCAGGAAATAAAGAATAAGATAAGAAATAATAAAACAAGGCAAATAAAAACAAATATTAAAATGGTAAACTTAAATCCAAGCACATTAATAATTTGGAAAGCAAGCAGACTAGCTGGAAAAGATATGGAGAAATCAGACCCCTCATTCATTATTGGAAGGAATGTAAAATGGCACAGCCACTGTGGAAAAGACTGGCAGTTTCTCAAAATGTTAAACAGAGAATTACCAAATGACCAAGCAATTCTACTCTTGGTATTTAATCAAGAGAAATAAAAATGCGTCTACCAAGAACTTGTACATGAATATTCATAGCAATATTATTCATAATAGCCAAAAAGCAGGGACAATCCAAATGCCCAGCAACTGAAAGATAAATAAACAAAATGCACTAGGTACACAAAATAAAATATGTTTCAGTCATTAAAAAAGAATGAAGTGCTGATTCATGCTACCACAGGGAAAAACATTGAAAACATTATCCTAAATAAAATAAGTCAGTTGCAAAAGACCACAAATCATATAATTCTCTATATATGAAATTTTCAGAATAGTCAAGCCCATAGAGATAAAGAGTGTATTAGTTGTTTCCAGAGGCTGGGGAGATGGAGACATGGAGAATTCTACTAACAAGTAAGGGATTTCTTTCTCAAATGTTCTAGAATTAGATAATGGTGGTTTTCGTATAACTTTGTGAATATATTAAAAACCACGAAATTGTACACTTTAAAAGTGAATCACATGGCATGTGAATTCTATTAATTAAAAAAAGTAAATGGACTTGAAGATTCCTATTAAAATACAAAGCTATAAGAATGGATTTAAAAACCAACAACTGCTGAGTGCAGTGGCTCATGCCTATAATCCTAGCACTTCAGGAGGCCAAGATGGGCAAATTACTTGTGCCCAGGAGTTCACGACCAGACTGGGAAAGACAGTGGGACCCCATCTGTTAAAAAAAAAAATACAAAAATTAGCCAGGCGACCATCAGAGAAATGCAAATCAAAACCACAATGAGATACCACTTCACACCAGTTAGAACGGCGATCATTAAAAAGTCAGGAAACAACAGGTGCTGGAGAGGATGTGGAGAAATAGGAACACTTTTACACTGTTGGTAGGACTGTAAACTAGTACAATCATTGTGGAAGACAGTGTGGCGATTCCTCAAGGATCTAGAACCAGAAATACCGTTTGACCTAGCCATCCCATTACTGGGTATATACCCAAAGGACTTTAAATCATGCTGCTATAAAGACACATGCACATGTATGTTTATTGCGGCACTATTCACAATAGCAAAGACTTGGAACCAACCCAAATTTCCATCAACGATAGACTGGATTAAGAAAATGTGGCACATATACACCATGGAATACTATACAGCCATAAAAAAGGATGAGTTCATGTCATTTGTAGGGACATGGATGAAGCTGGAAACCATCATTCTCAGCAAACTATTGCAAGGACAAAAAACCAGACACCCCATGTTCTCACTCATAGGTGAGAACTGAACAATGAGAACACTTGGACACAGGAAGGGTAACATCACACACCAGGGCCTGTCGTGGGGAGGGGGAAGAGGGAGGGATAGCATTAGGAGATATACCTAATGTGAATGACGAGTTAATGGGTGCAGCACACCAACATGGCACATGTATTACATAGGTAACAAACCTGCACGTTGTGCACATGCACTCAAAGTATAGTAAAAAAAAAAAATCAGCCAGGTGAAATGGTGTACACCTGTGGTCCCAGCAAATCCACAGGCTGAGGTAAGAGGATCACCTGAGCCTAGGAGGTCAACGCTGCAGTGAGCCGTGTTCACACCACTGTACTCCAGCCTGGGTGACAGAGCAGCAACTTGTCTCAAAATAAAAAGCAACAACTATATCCTAAGAGACATACTTTAAATATACCACCACCAAAAGGTAGAAAATGGAAGAATTACAAAAATTGATACCATGTAAACACTAGCCAAACAAGGCTCGTGTAGTTATATTACATCAGGCAAAGTAGACCTTAGGCACAAGGTATTACTAGAGATAAAGGGGGACGTTTCATAAAAGCATCAAATTAACAGGTTAACATAATTTATATGCAATAAACTGTAAACAAAATTTGTATGCAAAAAATAACACAGCTTCAAAATACATAAAGTTGAAAGAACTAAAAAATAGATAAATTCACAATCACAGTTGCAGACTTTAGCAACTCTCTCTCAATGGCTGATAGAATAAGCAGACAAAACCATAAGTATATGACTTGAACAATTCAATTTTCCAAT